CCTAACCATGGATTTATCTTTGTCCCAAATTACACCCATATCCACCATGCACAAGCTTGTGTTATGTCATCCTTTGCTATGCTAATAATCAATGATTCTGGGGCTGGGGTTGTGGCTCAGTGGTAGAGTGCTAACATAGCAAGCGTGAGGCCCTGGGTTCAATCCTCAGCACCACATAAAAATAAACAAGTGAAATGAGATATTGTGTCCAGCTACAACTAAAATTAAAAAAATATTTTAAAAAATCAATGATACTGATGGCATAAATACCACTCATATTGCACAAGAGATCCCTTGCACAATCAATACATCCTGCTGGCTCACAAATTTTCTAAACTTTGATATAAAAGCTAAGAATATATTTATCCTCAGAGTGCCCCCAGCAATCTGGCTTCCAGTGAACCTGTCCAGAGAGTGGAGGAGTCCAGGGGACATGGAGATGAAGAATCTTCTGAATGGGACCCTATACTGGACAAGGCATGCAATTAGCCTCATCATCACTGGAATTATTGCCCTGGTGACTGCCATTGCTGCCACATCCACTGTCGCTGCTTCATTCACTCAGAGTATCCATATGGCTCAGACTGTGAACAATGTGTCTACTGCCATGGCAGAAGACTTTGGCATTCAAAATGACTTAAATAAACTGTCCCGACCGCTATTTTAGTCATTCAGCAAGAACTAGATCTCCACCAGGAACAACTAGATATTCTGTTTATGTTGCAAAGGCTCACTTGTGATCCTGAATTTCATAGTATCTGTGTCACTCAATATGCTGTATCTGAAGATGTAACCTTACACTTCTCCCATTTTTCTCAGTATATTAAGGGCGCTTGGGATGCTAACTATGTTATGACTATGCATAATCTTACTACGACAATTGTCAAAATCATTGAGACTAAGGTGTCTGTCTTAACAGCCTCTTCTTTCTTCCATGGATTAACTGAACATTAATAGCCAAATTAACTCATCCTTATGTTATTATCTCATAACAAATTAACTCATCCTTATAATGTTATTACCCTGGCCCTACTGTTAATAATAGTGATAATTTTTTCTTATATTGTGAGTCAGTTATTTAACTATGTAAAGGCCACCAAACAAAAAACTGCAATGCTGGCTGAAGTCCTTGCAGCACAGTTAGAGGGGGGAGGTATGTGGACAGGTGCATGGAGTACTGCATACATGGCATATGTTAAGGACGCCTAAGTGGCAAACCACTCTCCTGGTGCTAGGCGTGTGAACGGCAAACCACTTACCCTATAGGCAGAGCCCTGTGTGTGAGGCCACATGTTATGGTCTCAGCGCTTGCTCCACGGTCAGCTCCTCGATTGGTCGCTGCAAGGACAGTTGGCCAGAAATTATATTCGTGGCTGCCTATAATCTGCTTAGCTATTGACTGAGTATATATATATATATATATGTGGTAACTGTGCAATAAAATCAGACCCGCTTCCTGCCTGGTCTCTCGAGATCTTGATTCATGACTCTGCAGCCACACTCTCCTCGACCCTGTTCTGTGGACCTCCTGGCTGGACAAGAGAGAGCCCACGCATGGGTCCACAGGTGGTACTGTTGCTTAGCTATGAGGTTTCTGGTAGCAACAAAAAGCAGCATCCAGCTGAAGCAGAGAGCAGGATTTCACAGCCCATGAGCAGAACAAAAGTTTACTCAGCCTGGACTGACTGCGACCCCTTCTGGCTCTGGGCCCATTCAGCACATGTGGCAGTAAAATTTTTTTTCCTGGAAAGTTACAAGGAAAGTTAAAGGGAAGCTGATGTTGAAGAAAACAAGAAGCACATTAAGGACTCATCATTCACCCACTCGGAAAATTCTTCACTATCTCTTTGCAAAGCGATGAACTATAGCAGCTGCTTGGCAAAGCCTGTGTCTCACCAGCGACCCGCGCAGACGAGATGAAATGTGTTTTAAAAGAGATGGCTGCAACATTAAGCTAAGAAAATGGCGAAAAAGCACAGGACACAGAAGTAATTTTCATACCAAGGGCGGGACTGCTCTGTGAACTTAAAAGTCAACTTCCATGCTGGGAAAAAAGTGTGCACCTGGAGTCTCTTTTATTTTTATAGAAAGACATTCAAAGGAGGTTTGATAGAATGTTCTTCACCAAATAAGGCAGGGGATGAGGTTTGAAGGGTGGAGTCTTTCTTTGTGATGTCTTGTGGTCAGCAGATTGATTGACATCTTGGCAAGATCAACCAACTCAGGCGCTGTGTGGGATCACAGGCAGAGTTAAAGGGAAGGTGCACTTGCATTGTGCAGCCCAAAGTGCCAAGCCCATCCCCTCATATGGCTACTATGTGCATAGTTCACACACACAGCCCATGGGTGACTCGTGACACTGTGGGATGTTTTACTATTGCATTTGATTATAACCTCCTTATGGAGGGAGCACAGAGGATCACAGAACAGGGAAGGGGCCTTAGAGACCATCAGTCTGGACAGGATGCTAGCTCCTACTGCTTCTTCCCCATGAAGGAGCACACAAGGACAGAGGTTAATGACTTCCTGAGATCCTATATCTGGCTAGAGAGCATCTGTTGGTTATGTTGTTGGCTTTCTTTTCCCCACTCTTTACTTTATAATGCATTACAATTCCGTACCACTGAGACAGTGCAGTTCTACCAATGCAGTGGCCAGCTCATTTTACTCCCCCACCCAAGTTGTTAAATCTGAAGGCAGTTCATTCTATTTAAATGGGTTTTATTTGTCTAGCTCGTCCCCAACCCAGAGACCCTGACACAGAGCTTCACTCAAATTCCAGCCTTAACACTGATGCTGACCTGTGTCCTCAGCAGGAACATTTTATGCTGGGATTTGACAGCCCTTGATTATGTACAGGGCGCTGTCTTCACTCCTGCTGCAGATTCCCATGGAAAGAAACAGCCTCAGGGATGGGAATCAGAATCCCAGGACTTAACTCTGAAATCCTCTTCTGAGAGGGGAAAAAAAAAAAAAAGTGGGCTTGGAGATTTATTACCTTGCACTGCTCCTCTATTTTTTCATTTCTGTAAAATGGGAATTTTAAGCAATTGATTTCAAAAACATGTGAGGCCCCTTCTGAGTGTTTTGCAAGGATTAATTCATGCAGTGTTCACAACGAAGTGATTGCCATTATCATTCCCATTTTATAGAGGTACAATGAAGCTAAGCAAGTGGCCCAAGTTCACGCAGTTGGCAGGGTCTTGGCTGTGGGCACCAGAAGCTTGGGATTTTTGTTGTTTTGTTTTGTTTTTGGTGCTGGGAATTGAGCACAGAGGTGTTCTATCATTGAGCTACATCCTCAGCCCTTTGATGGAGACTATATCTTCATATATATATTAGTTATAAGTGAACACAATACCTTTATTTTATTTTTATGTGATACTGAGGATCGAAGCCAGTGCCTCATGCATGCTAGGCGAGCACTCTGCCACTGAGCCACAACCCCAGCCCTGGACACGACATCTTTATTATTTATTCTTTTTTTATGTGGTGCTGAGGTTTGAACCCAGTGCCTCACACTTGCAAGGCTCTACCATTGAGACACAGCCCCAACCACCTTTTGATTTTTCTATTCTGGAACAGGGTCTCACCAAATTCCTGAAGCTGGCCTTGAACTTGGCGATCCTCCTGGTCTCAGCCTCCAAGTCACTGGGATTACAGGAGTGTGCTCCCCGCAGAAGCTTGGCTCTTAATTCCCAGACCGGATCCCTCCTGTATGAGGGTACCTCGCATTTGGGAAGCCTTTGTTCTCCCCACTGGGATTTCAGCTCTTGGGGCTGGGACCTCTTCTGACGCATGGAGGTATTTAATGAACATTGTGAACGGAAGGGATGAATGGATATCTTAGGAGAGCCATGGCCCACCTGACTGCCTGAAAGACCTTAAAGGACTGTGCTTCGGGAACTGCATTCGAGGTCAGGGTTTCTAGTCCCAGTAAACAGGATCCTTGAACCAAGCGGGACCATTTGTTTCGTCGAGGATGGCACAAAACCCACTCCGGGCGGGACACGGGCGCCCCCTGGCGGCAGCGCTCTGCTAAGACCGCAAGAGACAGAAACGTTGACTGGGGGCGGGGCGAGTGGAATTGGTGACCCACTGGCAGGTGATGGCGGGTGCGATAATGTACAGTTGTCAGAAAACCGATGTGCGACGCTGAGTACCATTGCCAGTGGCTTCCAAACTTATCTGACCATGATGCCCAGTAAGACATCATTTCACATGAATGCAGTTTCCCAAAACACCACCATGATGCTTCTCATTCTATTCTGCTCCTATTTTTAAACATTGTTCTGAATCCTTTGATTCCCAGGCTCTGTAACAGATGCCCACCTACGCCTTTTTTGTTTTCAGCTCACAAAGATTGTGATGGAGGAAGTATTAGCATCCAGGTGTTCTCTCTCTACATTGCTGCATCTCAGACTCGGCGTTGCTATCTGTGACTCCCAGATAAGGAATCTAGGCTCAGAGAAGTGAAGACACTTGTCCAAGGCCACACAGTTCAAATATGACAGTGCCAGTACCCCCACCTCCACCCCACAACTGCACCCTCGGAGAAAAATCACTAATTGCTCCTAATTTCATTGTTATCAAGGAGAAGTTTAATACAATCCTTTATTATTCCAATAAGATTGACCTGAATTGACCCGCTGTTTTCTTATACTATTTTGTTTTGTTTTGTTTTAGACAGAGTCTCAATATATTGCCCAAGCTGGTCTCAAACTCATGGGCTCAAGTGATTCTCCCACTTCTGTCTACCAAGTAGGTGGAACTTCAGGCTTGCACCATTCTCCCCTTCTCTTACCCTGTTTAGTGGAAACTAATGATGTTCTGGAGCCTGGGCTTAAAAATGCCAATCTTCATATGTACAAAATAATCTGAGATGGAGATTAGGAGTCTATGTTGAGGGATTGGCATGAGACTTGGTAGTAGATCCCTTGCCTGAGATGCATGAGACTGAGTTTGGTTCCCAACACCAGAAAAAAGAAAGAAAAGTCTGGTTGATGGTGTGGTAGTCTATTCTAGATTGTGCAAACAAACCATTTCACTTAAATTTATATAAAGCATCAGGAAAACATCTGCACAGAAAGGACAAGGACTTGTGAACAATGGGCAAGGTCTTCCCGGGTCCAAGTCCACAGGGAGAGGGGGAACCTGAGAGGTAAGCATGAAGACGCTTTGTCCTGAGGGCCTTGGCTGCAAACTTGAATTCAGGCCTTGACATTTGTGTTTGCTTCTGCCAATCAGGGATGCTTCAAACCAAATTCAAGCCAGGAGGGTTACGGCCTCCAGCTGAGAAGCCAAGGTGGAAATCCACAGGAAGGTTGATCAATAGTTATGGCATCTCATGAAGTTATTTTTTTCTTCTTTTTATTTTTTTTTTAAACTTGCTCTGCTCAGCACCAAAAAATGAAGGATAAAGAAGAAAAAGCCCCCCCGCCAAATGATGATCACCATTTTAAACTGTAATGGTGTATCAGTTTCCTAGGGCTGCCATAAGAAGCTACCACACTTGGTTGCTTAAAGAAACAGAAATCTATTCTTTCAGTTCTGGAGACTGAAAGTGTGAAATCAAGGAGATGGCACAGGCCTTTCCTCTAAGGCTCTAGGGCAGAGTCCTTTCTTTCCTTTATCAACTTCTGGTGGCTCCAGAAGTTCCTTGGCTTGTGACACGACTCCAAATTTGGCCTTGGCCTTCACATGGCTCTCTCCTGTCTCTCTTCCATGTTCCTTAGAGGACATTTGTCATTGAATTTAGAGCCCAAATCTGTCTTTTTCCAAATAAAGTCAGGTTCACAGGTTCTGGGGGTTAGGGTGCTGCATATCTTTTGGAGGGCCACCATTCAACCTACTGAAGACCTCAGACTGAACAAGCAATTCCCAAAGGAACTGAAAGTGGGGTCTGGAGAAATTTGCACACCCACATACAATAGAATATCAGTCAGCCTTAGGAAGGAAGGAAATTCTGGCACATGTTACAACAGAGATGAACTTTGAATACATTATGCTAAGCAAAACAAGCCAATCACAAAGGGAGAGAGGTCAGGTTCTACTCACCTGAGGTATTTAGAGCAGTCTAATTCAGAGACTGAAAGTGGGAGGCTGGTCATCTGGGGCAGAAGGAAGGGAAACGGGTAGTTATTGCTTAATGGGTACAGAGTTTCAATTTTGCCAGATGAAAAAGAGCTCTGGAGATTGGTCATGCAAAAATGTGAATAATAATACGAATTGTACTTAACAATATTGAATCATACACTTAAAAATGGTTAAGAGGATCAATTTTATATGTATTTTTCCACAAGTAAAATTTTAAATACCATAAAAGGAAATATTTTTACCATCCCAGAATTAACTGTGCACTGTGGTCTGGTTGATTCCTCCACCACTGAACTGTGAGCTCCATGACAGGAACCACATCTGTACAGTTCACTCCTCTAGACTGTGTCTAGACCATGCTTGGCACGTAGAGAGGGTGCCCAGTAAGTACACAGTGGATTTTCCTTTCCTTAGCTAGTATTCCCACATCTTGCTCAGTTAGGGTGCCCAAGTCAAAATCTTTGGCCCATTAATGAGTCGTCTTGAGGGTAAAACACATTGTTACCCACATTCAACATCCATTCCCTACCCTCTCCAATTTACCTGCAGTAGAGACACTAGATACATACATGCATTCTCAGCCTCCCTTGTAGCTAGGATATCCAAGTGCCATAACTCTAAATAATAAGATGAGAGGCAGAAGCTGCTAAATATCCTAGGAAAGATTTGACTTCCTACCTTGAATTCACGTACAATGCCTGCAGTTGTGGCCTCTAGGTTTTGACCAAAGGCCAAGAAAATCAGAGACCTGAGCCTCTGAGCAGTGCCAGCAGCTCCCCACTGCGGACTTGAGAAAAATTAACTTCTGTTCTATGCAACCCATGGTCAGAACTGTCACTTGCAGCCAAAAGCACTTGGAACTGATACAATTGGCCAAGTGACTTGATGTAATGGTCTCCCCAACAGGATGAATGAAATATATGACTTGTTCACCACTCTGTGCCCACCTGTGCCCTCCCCACCAGCACTTGGCAGATGGAACTGCACAGATGGACTGAGTGATTGTCTCTTCATCCAAAAGTTAACTAACCATACCTTCCTCTTGGGTTCACTGATAATGCACATTAAGTACCTAAAACAGTGCTTGGCACATAGTAAGCCTTCAACAAATACAGGGGAATGTCTCCACCAAGATCTGTAGTAATCTCAAACCCAGGCACAGGGGCCACACAGGAAGCTGGATCCACAGTGACTCATTCCTGGCAATACACCTTGTGATCCTCCAGAACGTGAAAGATGGGTGGGTGGGCAGTCAGCCAGAGGTCACCCCTGACTCACTGCAGTAGCCCAGTTTTCTGTTGTTCTTTCTTTTCTTTCTCTCTCTTTTTATTTTTGGTGCTGGGGATTGAACTCAGGGCCTTGGCATGCAAGGCAAGCACTCCACCAACTGAGCTATATCCCCAGCCCCTTGTGTTGTTATTTTTTGACATGCATGACAAAGGTCATGGGGGCCTGGCTCCTGTGGTTAACTTTTCTTCTGCTGTTAATGTTAACAATTAAATGGTCTGAATCTAAAAGTGACTCTTTTATTTTTACCAATTGAGTTTGTCACTTTTCTGCCAAGTGTATGCACATGACAACGAACAAAGTCTGTAATCTTTATTACTGTCTGTGCTAAGAGTCCCACTCCCCGACTTCTCCAAAGACGAGACACACAGGTCAGAGAAAACTCCACTTTTATTTCTGCTCACAATCTCCCAAAGGATCACACCCCCTCACCTAGATGCAGCCCCTCCCCACAAACCTTCACAAAACACTGATTTTTCTCCCAAGAGCTAAATGATCCCCCAGTCACTAACAATAGCCATCCCCCTTCCTCCCCACTGGCCTGCAGATCTGCCTGCTCTGTGTATGTGGCTCCCTCCAGGAAACGATTCCCAAGGACACTTGGCTTGCTTTTTCACCTATATTACATGGGTCCCCTTCCCCGCCCCCCACTTGGGTTTTATTTGCACAGTCTCCCTGCATGTCTTCCTGGCCTCACAAGCCTGCTCTGTCTTGTAGTCAGTCCACCCCACCAAGGGCACCTGCAAGAAGCCACTAATTTGAAATTTGAGAGAGCAGGGCTCCTGGCTTCCACTGCTCTGAGCTCCCTGTGGGCTCTGGCTCCTCACTGTAGTAGTGGTGGGTGTCAATGTTGACTAAGGCTAAACATTCCCATGAGGGGCACAAAATCCAGAATAGGCAAGAGGAGACAAGGACAAAAGTGGGTGTGGGGGGAGGGGCAGAATAAAGACAGAGGCCAAGGGATGCAGGAGGACGCCTCCTCCCACCTCAGCCCCAGGACAAAAATGGACCTGAGCTGATGAGCAGCCCCTAGAACCCAAAGGCCTAGCCCCTAGCTGCTGCGGGTCCTCTGGCTGCGGGCCTTATACACCTCAATGAGCAAGTCCTTGACGTACTGGATTTCCCGCTCCACCGACTCAGCCCTCTCCCTCAGCTCCCGGTTCCTCGCCTCCAGCCCCTGGCACTCGCCTTCCAGGGCCTCGCCCTCTGCCCGCTTCCTCTGGCGGTACCTCAGAGCTGCTGACTTGTTCTGGTCTCTCTTCTTCTGCTTGCGGTCCCCTCGGGCAG